CAGCAGGTTATGCGCAGTCCCAGCAAAAAGCTCCTGTGTCTAAATCTTCACTGGCTTAATATGGAAGGATTCTCTTTTGCAATAAATTGAATGAAAATCCACAGAGCTCAAATTTTGTACTGTGAAAAGCTGAATACTAAGGATTAATGTAAACTGAGATAATACAGGGACGAATTTGGATCTGCAGGACTGAAAATGTCTTGCCAACTTAATGAGACACCTAGCTTCTGAGATGGTGTTACATTTGGCTTGGGTGCTTTTAAAACTGTCTTTTTCGTCTCCTTCACCTTTTCTTTCTCATCTCCCTTCCATCCCTAATAAGATACTCAGTATTCCAGAAAGTTGTTGCTCCTTTCATTTTCTGTTCTCTAAATATTTTTTAGTATATATTTCTAGGAACCTCAGGATTCCCCTGAGCGTGCTGCCATTGCCATCTTTTTTGAGGGTGATGCTTTTTTAACTGTACAAGGATTGCCATAAGATGTGAAAGACTGATTTACAACATTCATTTCCACAAATTCCTTTTTTGGTTTCTTTTTACTACTGTTACTGTGTCGTTTCTGTTCTCCTCTCCTTTGTGCTCCCCCCTCCCCCACTTCCTGACTGGGCAGGAGATAAACTAGTTTAAATAAATGACCTCATATTGCATCCAGATTATCAATTTCCTAGCAGATTTGTTTCCAGGAGCAGTACAGTGCCCCAAAGCAGATACTTAAAATATATTAAGTTCTGCAACTTGTGATTAATTGGAAGAGCATTGTGATTCTGCCCTCTTGAATGGATAACTGAGAGATGTGAGTGTCACAGGAGGAGATGGGTGATGAAACGTGTGGTGACATTATCACACAAATGCCACACAACTTACAGCTGTTGGGGCACAAGTATGTAATAGCAGGATTGGTATGGTGATTATTTGCATGTGTCATTATGGTATCATTGTGATTTGCTGAAGACACCACTGTTGAGAGAGTGTCCTAAAAGCTGAGCACAAGAATGACTTTATGTCAAGATAGGAAAAGCAGATTATAAAAATAGCTTCTTGGGTTAAATTACTAGATATTCAAAACACTTGAATTACTGTATGAGACCATGAACTACAGTATGAGGCCAAGATTTAGCAGATGGAGTTATCATGTATGTTCTGGCCCCAGAACTTTTCCAGATGCAGGAAAGAATAGAAACCTGTGAGCTGGCAAGGCATGAATTCTAAGAGACTGGTCATGAATGGATTGACAGAATCATTTATTTATTTTTTCATTTCATTTCTTACTTAGGTTATATTGTATGTTCCAAGAACATTATCTGAAGAAAGAATGAATAACAGTGATTAAATTTAGCAGTAATAGCAGGAATCTGACCAAAGAAAATCTATGCTAAAACAAACAAATACTGGAGGAAATGAGAATTGCTTTTATCTGGCATCCAAAAAAGAAGGGTCCATGATGGGTTAATGTTTCTGAAGAGAAAATTCAGAGTGCTACTACAGAAAAGGCTCTGTCTCCATTCCCCTTGTATTCCGCA